TTTTAATTGTTTAAAGCGTTTAACAAGTTGAAAGAATTACAGACTTTTAATGTTCCAAGCGTTTAACAAGTTGAAAGAATTACAGACTTTTAAGCCTGACACGTCTATTTCATACAGTTCAAGAACATTAAAAATGAAACATTACCAATCTGGGTAGAAAATAGGGTGCATCTGTTTCAATAAGCAGGCGGTCCAGAGGAACTTTACGAGCAACTTCATGGATATCTACGGCTGAAGGGTAAGTGACCAAAGCAGTTAAGCCTAGGTAGAGATTGGGAAACGTGTTTAACCACATACGAGCCTCGTTCCAGTCGCCAGTGAAACATTGTCGATGAATGAAGTGGTCATAAGGTACTTCCTGTACAGCAGAAAAATGTAACAATTCTCAGCTATATCACAAAACCGTTTCAAAATATCAATTACACGAATCATCACATCTCCCAACACATTTACAATCATCATCAGCAGCAGGCTTGTGAATAAATCACTGTGCAGGTTATCAACTGTATTAAAAAGATGACTCAGTTATGCAACAAAATCAAAAAGCACCAAACAAACCATGTCTGAATTTACTTCTTTTTTTGTAAACTTTTCCCCCGGTGGTTCTTTCTGGTTAATAATACCAGTACCCTACTCAACATGGAACCATCCCACCTGTGCAACTGTAAAGTTTTTATAATTACTTGAATAAAAATGTTATTTATATTTCTCCAACCAGAATTAACTTAACTATACATAAACAAGAGAAATCATATCACATTTTATGTGCTTTTAAAAGAACTAACAAACAACTCAATTATTAATCTATGAGAGTAATAAATATATGAAGTTCAGTATTTATACACAAACAAATCTTTGAACGAGAGTGGCACCGAGTACTGTATTTTTTTCATTTTCCACCAATCAATGAACATATAATGCACATTGATACACAGAACAAGAATTTCGTTGAATAACAATCTCTTGAAAAGTAAACTCAAATACTACATAATATGAAAAACTAAGTTTCTCTAATATTTTAAGCCTATATTTTCTTTTATCAGTATTATGTTTAAAATTTAAGATGTCATGCAAGATCTCTGTGAACTGAAAAACTAATTTTTTACAAACATCAACTCAGAAAACTTGATTCAGAGACCGTTTGAGGCACAGTTGTTGTCCTGTGACCCAACTGTTATTCAGACACTGTTTGGGTCATGGCTGTTGTCCTGTGATACAACTGTTATTCAGACACTGTTTGGGGCACGGCTGTTGTCCTGTGACCCAACTGTTATTCAGACACTGTTTGGGGCACGGCTGTTGTCCTGTGACCCAACTGTTATTCAGACACTGATTGGGGCACGGTTGTTGTCCTGTGACCCAACTGTTATTCAGACACTGTTTGGGGTACGGTTGTTGTCCTGTGACCCAACTTTTGAAATGTATAAAAGCGGTAAGGACTTTAACAATATTCTTCACTGCTTTATTAACTCTCTCACTACGGGCTTTGTCTCATGGACTGATCTTGTAACCACTTTGTGCTGGCTATAATTTTCATACTATAACTTTTAATACAGTGTCTGTATCTTCACAAACGTGGCAGACTTTTAGTAAACAAGACGAGTCATTTGTACACAAAAAATAAGTTTTTTTACTAAAGATCTGTCCATGAATAAATCAATTTCTTTTAGTAGTCCGAGTGCAAAACAATTTTTTTATGTTAAGATTAAAAGTACTTTTCTTTGTCTCAAAAATCTCAACTTTCATTTGAGTAATCACTAAAACCTCCTAAGTAAATATAAAACTATATGGTTTTTACAGTCAGCAGGACTTGGTTCCTTGAAACTGTTTTAAAATGCAATGTTTTATACAAAAAATAAAACACTATCCAGTTAAATTAGGATTAAATAAAACACCATCCAGTTAAATTAGGATTAAATAAAACACCATCCAGTTAAATTAGGATTAAATAAAACACCATCCAGTTAAATTAGAATTAAATAAAACACCATCCAGTTAAATTAGAATTGAAGAAAACACTATCAAATTAAGTTAGAATTAAAGAAAACACTATCGAATTAAGTTAGAATTAAAGAAAACACTATCCAATTAAGTTAGGATTAAATAAAACACCATCCAATTAAGTTAGGATTAAATAAAACACCATCCAATTAAGTTAGAATTAAATAAAACACCATCCAATTAAGTTAGAAAAATAAAGAAAACACTATCGAATTATGTTAGAATTAAAGAAAACACTATCGAATTAAGTTAGAATTAAAGAAAACACCATCCAGTTAAGTTAGAATTAAATAAAACACCATCCAGTTAAGTTAGAATTAAATAAAACACCATCCAGTTAAATTAGGATTAAATAAAACACCATCCAATTAAGTTAGAATTAAAGAAAACACCATCCAATTAAGTTAGAATTAAAGAAAACACTATCGAATTAAATTAGAATTAAAGAAATCATTATCCAATTAAATTAGAATTAAAGAAATCATTATCCAATTAAATTAGAATTAAAGAAATCATTATCCAATTAAATTAGCCTGTTTGTTTTAAACTAAGTGCAAGTCTTTTACTCAAAATATCAAAGAAACTTTTGTTTATGTTTTTTACCTCTTTCAGAATTTTGATACAATCCGTATCAGCATCTCTGGAGTGAATCACAACAGGGATATGACGGTCAACAGCTATCTTCAGTTGTTTTCGAAGTGTGCTACGTTGAATCTTTCGCTCACAAGAGTTCCTACAAATTAACAGAAATTATGTAAAACTTCTTTTTTAAAAAAATATTAAACTCTATCAGTACCCTTATTATAATAAGGTTTACTTCATAATAAAAATTCAGAATCTTAAAAGTAAAAATACTTGGTTTTGCCAGAATATTTCATTCTTGCAGGACAAGCATTCATTTGGAAACTACTCTTTGCTTGAAACATACTCAATACTTCCAAATAATGTTTACCACTCTTCGAAGAAAGTCTGAAACACTCATGATATACACCGCTACTTATTAGAATTTCAATATGTAAATTGTTTCTAGCTTCAGGTTACATAACTTAGTAAGAACATGTTTGGTCATTTTAAATGAGTACACGATGTGACACCGTGGAACGGAAGGCCGTGTCTTTCACAATATTACTCTCATGACACATTAGTGTCGCAGCAAACACACACACATTAACAGCATATACTTTAAAGTAATGTATAATCTCTAACTTTTGTTGTCTACTTTTAACCATGAAACATTCTACCACACTAATGAATGCAATCAATTTACTGTTTTATTTAAACTGTAAGCTCACTTTGGAGAGTAGTCTAAACCAACTTCTCCCAAGGCAACCACCCTGTCGTGCCGTAGAGCTCCGATCAGGTGCATTTCAATTTCAGGATTATACTGTTCGGCCATGCGAGGATGACATCCAAAAGCAGTCCATATTTTATCATCTTTTAACACATCTTGCCACAGTGTTGGCTGTAAATGAACAACACACCAAGATAAAAACTTCCTGTATCAAGGAGTGAAAAGTGCCTCACACTGATATCTTTTCCATATATGTCTGTGTGGTGACCGATTTGTGTCTGAAGTACAATGCTATAATATTTCACTGTAGTTCTAAAATCAATAAATTCTCTTCATAGACCAGGAGTAAGAATAAACACTTTTTCACATTCCCTCCCACAAAACTAGCACTTAATATAATAACTACATACTATATAGGTATAGTGTTTTTCACACATATAAAACAATACTTGACTTTGTTAACATGTAGCTGATAGACGCGGTTTAAACGTTGTTCAATCGGTAAAAGGGAAAATTGTGTCCAACAAATTTACGTAACAATTTTCTGCAGCTAGCTGTTTAATTACAGCTCAACTTGTCATCATGGATTCTACAATGAAACATTTGGTAGTAAAATAACAATACATTAAGTAACAAAACCACACCAGGTCCGGCTGAGAACAGTGTCAGTGATATAGTTTGTTATCCAGTGAAATTTTACATAGACTTAGAAGTTGAAAGGAAAATATCATTTGACAAAACAACGACCTTGATATCTTTATAAGCTGACACTTCTATGAATTTTAGGTTATTTTATGATCTTAATGCTTTATAATTGTGGTTATGTTTGGTTTTTAAAGTCACTCTCAACTATAAGTAAGATTTTTCACACATTTTATGGTGATGTAATTTTTTTTTAAATATTTAAGACATTTTACATTATTTGATACAGCATCTTATATGACCAATAATCTACAGCAATTAAATGGACACTGCCAAACAGAATTCAACGGGTATTAACGTTAAAAAAATCTGTAAAATGTATTATGCTTACCATCCCAAATGTGCTGGGATCACAAAAGTTTGTTATGCAACCACCGTAACAGATCGGATACGTGTCTTTATTGACTGACTGGTACTCGGCATATGTTCCCTTAAAGCCACTCCGTTGAAACAGAAAATCAAGATGGCAGTGAGTGTCAATGACATCGATCCTTGGCTCAAGAGACATCAATGTTTCACTGTTGTACCAGGGTAGATTCGTATATGGAATCCATTTTTCACAAAATGATTGATTGACAAAGTCTAGGTATGGACTTTTATCAGCCAAAGATGAACTTTCATCTTGCAGGCTTTCCTCACTCAGGTGCCAATGGAGGTTTTTACGATCACGAGCAGGTGTTGTACAAGGGTTATCATCAGGCTGGCTGTATGCATTAACTTCAACAGATTTATAGTGTGGTATAACATTTTTGTAGGATGAGCGATGGTCTTTTGAAAAATAAGTCCTCCTGCAAGGTCTTGCTATGACATCTAACTCATCAGCTTCACTTCTTACGTTGTGTTTTTGTTTCTGAAGAGAGGGTTTCATAGATGAACTATTATTGATTTTGTACTCTACAAAATTTCCAGCCTTTTCAAATATATTATCTATGTCCAAAGATGTAAGATGGCTAAGTTGACAAGTATTCCTTATAACAGGAGGTGACTGGGAGTGAGTTTTGATGTGATCCAAATCATCTTCTGAATCATCTACATTTTTCATCCCACATTTTTCATAATCTTGTTCTACTGTAGCAAAAGCATCTGTTTTCTCAAAATAGTAAGTGTAAACAAAATTGAAATCGGAAGTGATATCTTCCTGGGAATGTACTAAAATAGAAGAATTATCTGAAGAGCTGTCATGTGATAAATCTGGACTACCAGGAGTATATGATCTAACCTCATGTCCTTCTTGTAAAGATGACCATTTCAAAGAATAAGGTCTTACTCTTTGATCCCGATCAAATGAGCATAAAGACTCAGTTTTATGACACCCAGACATAATCTTTGGTATCAAACCACTCTTGTCTGTACGACTTAAGTATGAACCTTTTGGATGAAGACGTTTATCTTTTTCAGATTATTTTCTGGTTGTTTTTTGTTTAAAGTGTCACACCTTTGTAGTTCAACTTCAGTGGAATTATTCACAAAAAAACATGACAGTACGTATTTTTTCAAGTGTTTTTCTACTTCTGGCTCCTAAGAAAAAATTGAATGAAAAAAATAATTATAAATACTACAAAAATTTAAATGAAGATATGAGAGAACTTTCTTTCATCAGGATTGAGCATCTGAAAAGTCCTGACTATTATACTTTTTTAACTGTGATTTGTCTGCTGATGTGAACCTCACAATACAAAAAATATGTCACAAACACTTCATACATCACACAGCTTCACTCTTTACAATCAACTCAACATGAACTATGTCATTTTATGAGTTGTATGATTAAGTTATAAAGAACTAATTGTGCCAAATTATTAAAATTATTGGTAATGTAATAAAGAAAGAATATCCTTATGTAACTTAAATTGTTAATCCAAGTAATAAATAGCAACAACAATGAAAAACTTAGTTGTGCAGATAGAAATAAAGAAAATGAAATTGGACTATCAAATCCTTAGGTTATCATCAGATTGTTACTTAGGATGTTACTTGTTTTCTGGGGTAGGGAAAGAATGTGATGTACTTAGGATATTACTTGTTTTCTGGGTTAGGGAAAGGAATGTGATGTACTTAGGATATTAATTGTTCTCTGGGTTAGGGAAAGGATGTGATGTACTTGGATATTAATTGTTCTCTGGGTTAGGGAAAGGATGTGATGTACTTAGGATGTTACTTGTTTTCTGGGTTAGGGAAAGGATGTGATGTACTTAGGATGTTACTTGTTTTCTGGGTTAGGGAAAGAATGTGATGTTCTTAGGATATTAATTGTTTTCTGGGTTAGGGAAAGGGTGTGAAGTTGATGTACTAAGATTTTTCAAACACTTTTAATAAGGTACCACACAAAAAATCATCTAAGAAAATCACACTGATAGGAATTGGGGAATGAGGAATTAATTGGATTGTAGGGTGGCTGGATGGGACAAAGTTGTTATTAATGGTGTACAGTCAAACTGGACCCTTGTTATTTATTGAACGAGTTGTTGTCAGCAGTAGTGAAGATAAGCACTGTACAGGACTTTAAGAGGGGAATCAATTTCCTGAAAAATAGAGTGGGTTTAAATTTTTAACTTCCCAAGGGTGGAGAGGAATGCACAGACAGTCTTGAAGGACCATGAGATCCTTTGTTGTTCATTGTGCATAGGTTACATTTTATCACTAGCTTCTGTATTGAGATGATGTCCACCAACAAACCAGTAGTAATATAACCAGTTCTGTCTCGCGTGGCTATTGTTTCACTTTAGTTTACAATGAAGAAGAGTATGATGAATAAATCAATATTACTTTTTGACAAAGAAGAAAAGTTTATTTCATACAAACTTCTCCAAGACAGTATCCAGTTGTTAAAACCCAATGAAAAAACAAACAATTGCAATTTATTTTTGTATTAGAAAAAAGTAAGATATTATTGGCCTACATTTAAGAAACTTGAAAAAAATACATGGAACACACATCCCAAGTACAAGCAGCACAAAAACAGTAAACGTTCATTATCATATATGACCACGTTTGATCTTTATAAGTTGACTTAAAAATCAAGTTTTACTATGCATTCCATAGCCTTATATTATCACAAGATATGCATGCTTGATAAATACACACAAGTTAAATTAACTGAATCACTGACTATAGATTTTCAGGTAACTTACATTAACATTCTTACGATATTTAACTAATCAGTGATTTACATAAAATAGTAATACTTTAAAACTAGAAAATAAGATTAATAAAATGAATAATATCCCAATCAATCTACAAGCATGTTTCATTTAAAAAGATACATTTGTTATATAAACCAATTTCAATATAATTTTCAAAAACAGTATTTTTGTAACTCCCAAAAAATTGATAAACAAAGGTTAATTTAATTTAAAATTTGACATTTTTCAATCATTTAAGAAACACTTGTGATACAGTTTAAAATCCATATATACATACACTTCACATAAGTTAGTACCTGAACATGGAGTTTTGCCTTTTTTTCTGTAACACTCTTTCCGAGTCTTAGGTGTTACTAAATTCAGTCAAATTTAACTTGTACGTACACTCAAGATTAGAAGGTTGTGTGCAATCGTTTACCATCTACTCCCGTGTTTTCAGCACTTCTGGTTCACATGGTATTGTTTGTTCTTTCTCAGTTTTGAATTTTGAAACAGTTTCTGAAAACTCATTTTAAAAATGATTATCAGATCCTTCAAACATCTATAAAATATAAGGAGGAATAAAAATGTTCTGAATGGGCATTTAGTAAACACAATCCTAGTAACAAGATATGTTTATATTTAATAATTAATATTTTCCACACAACAAAATTTTACTTCAAACTACTACTATAGATATGCAATTAGTAAAATATGATAATTAATCATTGGGCTGATTAAACAATCACATTCAAATAATCTACTACTCTCAAGAGACTTAGATAGTTAAAATAATCGAAAATAGTAATAATTGGAAATATTAATTTCATTATTCTTGTGAGTTGTGAAACTAATCATTTTAGATAAAAAACCTTGAATTAATCAAATATAATAATGAGAAATTATAATGACAATATTTTGATTACTCGGACAGTTGGAATAATTGAAAACAGTAATAAACGGAAACAACAATTTGATTAATTGGTTACTTTTGAGACATTAATCAGTTTAATAACAGTTTTGACTCAACGATTTTGCACAACACTAATTTACATAATCAATGCTCATGGGTAGTCCACTATAAAGATTAATTACTCAGCTCTATAAATGATTAGTTTTAACTTTTAAGCTTTGTTCCCAAATTCCTATATTGTAATTCTACATAATTAATTTAATTCATGTATTATTTTCATCACTAAAGTTTTTAGAAACTTAATTATTATCTTTTATTTTGACTGACAAACTAAAAGTTTAAAATAAAGGGGATGTATCTAAATGGAATATTTTCAAATGCCCGTTTTCCAAACAATTTAAGTCCGTGTTCACACTATAGATCTTGACTTGGTGCCAAAGAAAGCACATTTATTATAAATATTTAGGTTATTAACATTAGCTGGATGTCGAAAGTACATAATATATTCGTGTCAGGCAAAAATATACTGAATTTACTCCCACCTCCAAGGCAAGTAGTTCACACAAATTTACAATCAACCTATTTGATTTCATTGAAACCCGTTTTCTTCAGAGGTAATCTAGATTGTGTATCTTTCAAAGAGCATAATAAACACATCATCAATGTCTTTCATTTGAAAACAATTAGCATCTTTTCTCTCCCAACACACAAAATAGTATTTATTTGTGGCAATGGTGTGGGCTAGAAATCATATCAAAACTCTTGTTTACAAATTTTACTATCTCTATCTCCTTGTCTAACAAAACCTTTGTAACTAACAGTCATTAATAATATTTGTTTGTAAATTAAATACTTTCTGACGGGACACTTCGGGTATAGCACCATATTAAGTGAAACTGTATTACTCGTTATACATTAGAAATATTTCTGTTCAATGGACCTAGGACATGAAAAAAACCCGAAGTTTTTCGGAAAGAGTTCCATATGGTACCCCCACTCAAAAATTGTAGAATTGCCTGGATAAAAAAAGATTCTGAAAAGG